AGAGCTGCCATAAATATTTTTGTACATATGGGTTCTTTTCCTTTTTCTTTGATCTCTTTGGGGTATAGACCTAGTTTTATAGCCCTTTGGGCATAGTTCCAAATTGTTTTCCAGAATGGTTGGACCAGTTATTAATGAACTTATTGTTACTCTACTTATTAATGTACCTATTTCCCCTAATCTCCTCCACATTTGTCATTTCTGATAGATGTGAGGAGGTACCTCAGAGCTGTTTCAATTTTCATTTCTCTAACCAATAATGATTTAGAGCATTTTTCAGATGACTAAAGGAAACTTTGATTTCTTCCTTTGAAAACTGCCTGTTCATATCCTTTGACCATTTATCCATTAGGGAATGACTCTTATTTTTATTATTTTGACTCAATTCTTCATATATTTGAGAAATGGGGCCTTTATCAGAGGAACTTGCTGTAAATATTTTTGCAATTACTTCATCGGCTATGGTACCTTTTAGTAAAATGTAGTTTCCTTGATTATCTCTTTCAATTACATCAATTTTTGCTTTTGCTTTGTCTGAGATCATGATTGCCACCCTTGCCCTCTTCACTTCAGATGAAGCTTAATGGACTCTGCTCCAGCCCTTCCTTTCAACTCTGCACATCTTTTTGTCCCAAGTGCCTCTCTTGTAAACAACATATTGTTGGATTCTGGTTCCTAATCCATTCTGATATCTGCTCTGCTTCCATTCTATGGGTGAGCTCATCCCATTCACATTCATAACTTATGATCACTGACTCTTTATTTCCCTCCATCCCATTTTCCTTTCTTTATTCTTCTCTTTTGTTTATCCTATCCCTCCTCAAAAGTCCGTCTTGCTTCTGACCACTGCCTCCCCTAATCCATCCTCTCCCTTATCATCCTTTCCCAAATCTCTTATCCCCTTCGCCTCCTAACTCCCTATTGGGTAAGATAGGTTTTTATACTCAACTGTGAGTGTATGTATATACATATATGTTTGTGTGTATATACATACGTATATGTATACACCCACCCCATCCCTCCATGTGTATATATATATGTATATAACACACACACACACACACACACACACACACACACACACTCTTCCCTCTTTGAACCAATTCTGATGAAAGTGAGGTTCAAGCATTGCCTGCCACCTTCCATTTTCCTTCTACTATAAAGTTCTTTTTTGGACGCCTCCTTTATGTGAGAAAATTTGCTCCATTCTACCTCTCTCTTTACCCTCCTCCCAGTGGATCCCTCTTTTTCACCTCTTCATTTTTTTTAGATCATCCCAACATAATCATCCCATCCCCATCCCCTCTATCTATGCAGATTCCTAACTACCCTAATAATGATAAACATTTTTAGGGATTACATGTATCATATTCCCATATAAGAATGTAAACAGTTTAACTCTATTGAGTCACTTATGATTACTCTTTCATATTTACCTTTTTATGCTTCTCTTGAGTCTTCTGTTTGAATGTTAGATTTTCTATTCAGTTCTGGTCTTTTCATCAGGAGTGCTTGGAAGTTCTCTGTTTCATTAAGTACCTACTTTTCCCCTGAAGGATTATACTCAATTTTGCCAGATAGGTTATTCTTGGTTGTAATCCTAGCTCTATTGCCCTCTGGAATACTACATTCCAAGACCTCTGCTCAATTAACATGGAAGCTGCTAAATCTTGTATGATCCTGACTGTGGCTTTATATTTGAATTGCTTATTTCTGTCTGCTGATAATATATTTTTCTTGACATGGGAGCTCTTGAATTTGGCTATAATATTTCCCAGAGTTTTTATTTTCTAATATCTTTCAGGAGGTGATTGGCAGATTCTTTCAATTTTTTAAAAAAATTTTACCCTCTGGATCTAAGATATTGAAACAGTTTTCCTTTAAAATTTCTTTATATTTTCATATATAATTTTTTCCAATTACATGAAAAAACAATTTCAACATTCATTAAAAAAATTTGAGTTCCAAATTCTTTCCCTCCTCTCCCTTCTCCTCTCCTCTCTCCTCCCTGAGATGGCAAGCAATTAGATATAGATTACGCACATTAAATAACGCAAAACTCATTTCTGTATTAGCCATGTTGTAAAAGAAAACACAGATAAAAACCCTAGGAAAAACAAAGAAAGTTGAAAAAAAAGTATACTTTGACTTGCATTTAGACTCCATCAGCTTTTTCTCTGAAGGTAGATAACATTTTTCATCCTAATTCCTTCAGAATTGTCTTTGATCATTGCATTACTGAATATAGCTAAGTCATTCTCAGTTGATCGTCATACAGTGTTGCTGTTACTATGTAAGGTATTCTCCTAGTTCTGCTCACTTCACTTTGCATCAGTTCATTTAAGTCTTTCCAGGTTTTTCTGAAAGTATCCTGTTCATCGTTTCCTGTAGCACAATAATATTCCATCACAATAATATATCACAACTTGTTCAGCCATTACCCATTTGATGGGCATCCCCTCAATTTTCAATTCTTTGCTACCCCAAAAATATAAATTTTTTTGTGCATGTGGTCCTTTCTCCCTTTATAATTTCTTGGAATATGATGTCTAGGCTCTTTTTGTGATCATGGCTTTCAGATAGTCCAATAATTCTTAAATTTTCTCTCCTCAATCTATTTTCCAAACTAGTTGTTTTTCCAATGAGATATTTCACATTTTCTTCTTTTTTCCATTCTTTTGACTTTGTTTTATTGTTTCTTGAAGCCTCATGATGTCATTAGCTTTCACTTGCTCAATTCTATTTTTCAAGCAATTATTCTCTTCAGTGAGCTTTTGTACCTCTTTTTCCATTTTGCCTATTTTGTTTTTAAAGGAATTCTTTTCTTCAGCAAATTTTTGTGTCTCTTTCACCATTCGACCAATTCTTTTTTTAAGATGATGTTTTCTTCAGTATTTTTTTTACTAAGCTGTTATTTCTCTTTTCATAGCTTTCTTGCATCACTCTCATTTCTTTTCCCAGTTTTTCCTCTACCACTCAATGCTTTCTTTAACTCTTCCAGGTATTCTTGTTGTGTCCAATTAGCATTTTCTTTGAGGCTTTGCTTGTAACTGTTTTCACATTGTTGTTTTCTCCTAAGTTTATGTCTTGGTCTTCCCTGACAATATAGTACCTTTTTATGGTCAAATTCTTTTTTTGTTGTTTGCTCATTTCCCCAGCCTATTTCTTCACTTTGAACTTTATATTAAAGTTGGGCTCTGCTCACCGGGGGGTGGGGAGGCACTGTGTCAAGCTTTAGACCTTTTTGTACTGCTGTTTTCAGAGCTAGTTCTGGGGGTCTGCATGTGTTTTTGTGCTTCCAAGATGGAGTTCTCCTGGGAGAGGCGTGGTGCTCTGGTCTTTACCCAAGAAGGGCTCCTACTTCCCTGCAAGTACTATTACTTCTTTTGGCCCTGGAATTGTGACTAGGTCCCTTGCTCCTTTGTGACTGATCACAAGTGATTCTCTACATCCTGGAACTACACCCCAGAACTACATATGGGCAATAGAGTTGCTGGTCAACACCAGTTGTTCCCAGTGCCAGCAAAAGGTCCCCTGTAATCTCTTTCTGACCCGTTGTCCAATCCCCCTATCATCTCTGGGTTGAGAGTTCCTGAAGCTGCTGTTGCTGCTGTCCCAGATGCCTCCAAGCCCACCATTGGTGCTCCTTCTATGCTCCAGACCTGCACCTACCTTGGTGTTACAGACCTCTTCCGTGGACCTCCTAAGTTGTCGTAGGCTGGAAAAATGTCTCCTTCTAACCTTTTGTTGGCTCTGCTGCTCTAAAATTTGATTTGAGGCAGCATTTTAAAATTGTTTGGAGGCAAATGTTGGGAGACTTCAGCTGGGTCCCTGCCTGTCCTTTGTCAACTAGAGATAATTTTAAAAGCATTTAGCACAGTGTCTGGCACATAGTAAGCTCTATATTAATGTTAGCTATTATAGCTATTATTATTGTTAACAGCAGTCATCACCCAAAAGTTGATGATCAGATTTGGGGGCTATTGTAACATGGGGCTTATAATTTGTGTAAGGATTGGACGAGATGACCTCTGAAGTCCCTCCTAAACCCCACATTCTAAGGTTGTGGTCAGAGTCCAAATAGTGGTCAGAGGTGAAAGCAGAACTGTAATGGAAAGCAGAACATGGAAGGCAAGGGAAGACCATTTCAAGAAATCACAGATTTGGTCCAAAAGGAAAAAAAAATCTCAATGTCTTTAATAAAAAGGGAATGACTTTTTTTTTTCAGAAAAAAATTGAAAAATGGAGGAACTAAAAGAGGGGAAGATAGGGCTAGAAACTGAAGCAACTTAGAGAGTGTTCAGTCCATGAGCATTCAGGCTTTCTTCTGACCTTTCCTCTGTACTTGTCCAGTCCCACCTGCCATTATCTGAAGAGCACTGCAGTGCTGGCTAGGATCCAAGGATTCAGAGCCAGAGGGGTTCTGAGAGATGGTTATGTCCACCCATGTTCTCATTGTGTTTCTGAGGAAACAGATAGAAGGAGGGCTACATCTGGAGTCATAAATCTTGCATTTGAATACCACCCTTGCCACTTACTACCTGGGTGATGGCGGACAAGTCACTTAATCCCTTACCTGGGTCTTCTCAGTTTCCTCCATCTGTAAGATGAGGAGATTGGAATAGATCACGTCTATGGTCCCTTTTGACTCTAAATCTATGATCATATGACCCTTTAAGGCTTTTAATCAATATCACCAAACATTTATTAAGTGCCTCCTATGTGCCAGGCACTGTGCTGGGTTCTGGGGATATAGAGACAAAAATGGGAGTCATTGCCCTCAGGGAGATTACATTCTAAAGGAGGAGACAATCAATCCACAAGCATTTATTAAGGGCTTATTATGTGCTAGGGATTATTTTAGACTGGTGATACAAAGACAAAGAAGTGAAATTGTCCCTGCCCTCAAGGAGTTGACATTCTATAAGGCGTTAAACAATGAAAAAAAAAGGGATGAAAAGATAATTTTTTCCCTTCCTCCATCTCTTTTGAACAGGGAGAAGATGCCGTTCCATCATGTGACAGCTGGCTTGTTGTATAAAGGGAATTACCTGAATCGGTCCCTCTCTGCAGGCAGTGACAGTGAGCAGCTCGCTAACATCTCAGTGGAAGAATTGGATGGTAAGAGACATGCACTGTTGAGCAGATTCGCCATAGTGGGCAGGCGGCTGGAGGAGAATGGCCTCAGCTCTTGCTGCCTTAATGGGCAGTCATGACTAAAGCCAAGCTGTGGTGAATAGGGAAAGAAAAAAGTCAGAAATAAATTCCAGGTGTTCTTTCCCTATTTAGGCCTGGCTGACCCATCACCAGGTAGAAAACTTGCCTCAGTAATAAATTAATGGAAGACCAAGGTGAATGATTTCCATCCCCAAGGACAAGTCCCTGGCTCATTCAAGGGGCTCTCTCCCATGTTTTGTACTTCCTACGGTTCAATGAGCTACCATGTTTCCAAATTGTCTTTTGTGGTATATACCAGCTGCAGAGGAGGGCCAGACACTGGTGATGGCTGCCTCTTGGCTCGAGGCTGGCCACTGCTTTGATTCCTGGCCAAGACTGGTGCTTCTCAGCAGCCATTTCTAAGTGGATTTGGGAGTGGAAAATAAGTTGACAACCTCCAACTGCATTGTAAGACTTGGTGGGAGGCAATTGGATGTGTGCAGTGGAAAGAGGGTTGGTTTTGGAGCCAAAGAGCCTTGGTTGAAATTGTAGCTTTGCTATTTACCACCTGTGTGCCCTGAGACAAATCACTTCCCCTCTGGGTGTCATTGTCCTCATCTGTAAAATGGGAGTGGTAGGGTCAGGCTTGATGTCCTATATAGTGCCTTCCAACTCTAACTATAAGATACTGTGACCTGAGTTCAAATCCTGGTTCTGCCACCCACTACCTACATGACCATGGGTAACTCACTTGATCTCTTTGGGTCTCAGTTTTCCCATCTGTAAGATGAGGGGGTTGTAGTAAATGATCTCTATGGTCCCTTTGAGCTCTAAAATAATGATCCTATGTTCTCTAAAATTCCTTTGACACCTGGATCTCATGATCCCATGATTCCATGGGCATTCAGTGCTAGCAACAGAGGGAAACAATCTTGAAAGAAGAATGGATGTCCTGTGTAGGGATGGGATGATAACTATGAAAACACATTGGCCAATTCCTTAAATTCCAAGCTTTTGGGCAGAGTCTCCAGGGCTTGCAGGGTCAGTGCTCTACCTGGGCTCTCCTCCTCGTGGCCTCAAGAGCTCAGGCTACTCCTTAGGCCCCCACCAGACATTTTCCCTTGAGTAATGGACCCTCCAGCTCATAAGGATCAACAAGTCAGAGATTCAGGCCTGGAAGAGATCTTAGAAACCACCTAGTCCACCTTCATTATTGGTGATATCTTTTCTTTTTATAAATCTCACCTTGACCAACACATTCCTTCCCACTGCTAGAGAGCCAAAAAGTTTAGTAAAATCAATGAACATATCCAAAAAATTTTACATCAGTTGCATGCAGTGCTCCATATCCATAGTCCCCTACCCTTGCAAAGATGCTGGGAGAGACATTTTTCTTCTTTGGGGCTAAGCTTGGCCATTATCATTTTGCAGCATTTTTTCATTGTTTTGTTGGTTCATCTCCTATATTTTCCAGAAAAAGAAACTGAGGCTCAGAGCGTTCAAATAATTTGTCCATGGTCACATAGTATCAGAGGTAGGGAATTGAACTCAGGTCTCCCTGGCTCAAAGACCAACACTCTATCTACTACACTGTGTTGTCTTTGTGAGTTGAGAGGTCTTTTCTAAGGAAATAAGGGAGGATTCAACTAGATCAAGGATTCTTCACCTTTTTTGTGTCATGGGTCCCCTTTGGTAGTCTGGCAATGCCTATGGCCTCTTTGTTGGCATAATATTTTTAAATAACTGAAGAAAATGCTAAATTTCAATTAGAGGTTAGAGGAAAAAGGATGTAAAATTTCTCCCCCATCTAAGTCCATGGATCATCTAAAATCTGTTCATGTTCCCCAGATTCAGAAGCCCTGTTCTAGAACTTGGGGTTCTCCTGTGTTACTGAGTAGAATGCTCAGGGCACCAGGAAGCCTCTCTAAATCCACTAAAGCCCAAACAATCTTAGGTCCAAATCATCTTTCCCTAATGCCTTCCATCTTTTCCTAATACCTTTCATCATCACCATGTTTTATGGCAAGGGCTCAGCCAAGGCTCTAGAGATGAGAAATTAGAATCACTGCAGATGGTCCTAATGCTGGTAAGTTTCATGGTCTAATCTAATGTGTTGTGCATGTGCACAGATCCAGGAGACTCAAAGTTATCTCCCCCAGATGGGAGGGCGGGGAAAGCTATCCCCATGGTGGGTGCGCCATGCCAAGCAGCATAGGGATCTGAAGTTCAACCTGTGTGATGGGGAAGGATGGCAGGGGGAAGGAGAAGAAGGATGGCAGCTGTGGCATTTGTTTGCTTGCCTTATTTACTAAAATGTTTTTGGGGAAAAAGGGATGGGAAAAGGTTTTTGTTACAGAGAGGGATCCTTGTAACCCTAAGGTTGTGAGGGGCTCTTGGATTCTGTGAGGATGGGGGAGGTCACATAGGTGGGATTGAGGCTTGGTTTGATTCAGAAGATCCCTTAAGAGAGGAATTCTTGGCCAGCCTTTGTAGACTTCTGGAGTAGTTTAGACTATATCAGACCTTCGGAGTGGTGGAAAGAGAGTTGGTTCAGGAGTGAGAGGACCAGGGTTCAAATCCTACCTGTGATGTTTAACTATCTGGACCTTTGATCTTACAGACTTAGTACTTGTACCTTTCTGGGCCTCAATGTCCATATCTGTAAAATGAGGGAGGTCAGATCAGATGGCCTCTAAGGTCTCTTGTGCCAGATCTGGGAGGGCAGCCTGGGCTATATTCTTTGGCTTCTGGGATCTCCACTGTGATGAAGACAATCTCTGTCGTCATTTTCTATGTGAAATGCTAGCATACTGTTAAATGGAAACAGGAGATCGAAGGATGGGATCATTAGCTTGTGGGGAAAGATGGAGGCTAGCCTACAGATGATCCAGCTCAGGGGGACTGGGGAACTAGGGGGAGACAGGCAGGAGATGTTTCATTGAACCAAGCTGGTGGCAGTCTGGTCAGGTATATCAAATGTGGAGGACAGACTGTCTTCCCCCACTCAATCAGTTCAATAAGTATTTATTACTGTGACAAACATTGGGCTCAGGCATGCAAGGATGCCAGGACAAAAATGAAATAGTTCCCACCCTCAGGAAGGTTATATTATATCAGAGGAGACTATACATCTATACACACATGCATATTTATATTGATACACACAAAATAATTACAAAGTAATTTTTTTGGGGGAGATGCACTAGAATCTGGGGGGAATTAGGAAAGCCTCACATTGATGTTGACCCTGGAGCTGGATCTTGAAGGAACTCAAGAGTGGGGATGAGGAGAGTGTGCATTCTAGACATGGTGGGCAGCCGGTACAAAGACGTGGATAGGAGATGGTGTAAGAAACAGTAAGAAGTCCCTGATTGGGTAGAAAGGCTAAGAAGGAATACCCGCCTTGAACTGAGAGGCACTGGAAGCAGGGGTGGGGGAACAGGCTAGGAAAGCCATGTACCAGCTGAGATGCTAGTTAGATAAGAAAGGGCCAAGCTGGCTTAGGAAAAATCTCCTAGTTTAGGGCTATCTTAGAATAAAATTCCCGGGCCTTACAACTTCTTTAATGCTAAGTTTGTCTGGCTTTAACCCCTTTCTCTTCATTGATAGTATTTTCTCCCGAAACCCCATCAATGTCTCTGGCATCCTGGGGAGAAGGGCAGGGGCCCAAGAGTAGGCCAGGAGAATTTAAGGAGAGAGTGGTATTCCTTGGTGGATGGGCAAGGCCCGGTAGCTACAGCAGCAAGATGGAGGGGACCACCAGCTCCATGGCTTCGGGGTGGAGAGAACCAACAAGCAGAGGAAAACTTGAACTGGGAATAGGTCTAGAGCACAGCAAGACTGTAAGACCAGGTCCCATTCTCGCCTGGGGCTGGTCCTCTGAGACGCCCTCAGTTTCCAGATATTCAAAAGAAGGGATGGGGGCAAGAACGGAGAAATGAAGAATGGAAGGTACTCCAACTGCAGATGGATTCCTGTTGGGTCCCCCGTGGCTCCGAGTTCTAGGAGTGATCATTCTAATGACTTTGCAAACTTGGGCTTGGTCTACCCTCCACAGTGAGAGGGTACTGCCCTGGTGTCTCTGCTTGGCATCGAGATCTGGACAGACAGTACTCAGGTAATGAGTATAGGAATATTATGTATATTAATTATATATACATAATATAATGTATGTAATATATACATATTATATATGTATATATAATGTATGTATGTAATATATACATATTATATATGTATATATAATGTATGTATGTATACAAAGCACACATATACATATATAATATAGTAATATTTACATAACATATAACATACATACAATATATGCACAATTAATTATGTATAAATATAAGTATAGCAATGAATTATAACCCCCTGGGGGAGGGGTGCATCTGAGTGTGTGCCAGAGAACCAAGCAGTCCCTTTGGTATAATTAGGTAAGTGCTTTGAACTTACATTGTACAAAGGGCATTGAGTGGGGATGACCATGGAGCCGGTCATGCTTGTAGGAGGCTGGCTCTAGAATTGGATGGGGCCTCAGAGTTCATCTAGTTCAACCCCCTCTTTTTACAGAGGAGGAAGTTCATTGAACTTCTATTGAGCACCAACTGTATACTGAAGCAATGGGCTAGGTGCCTGGAATCTTAGGATGATAGATTCAGAGCCAGAAGGGAGCTCAGAGACCATCTAGTTCTTCTTCCTCGTTTTATAGATGAGGAAGGACAACAAAGATTAATTAAGGACTTACTGGGTACAAAGGCACTGTGCCAGGACCTGGGAATCTTAAAATCATTACTGGTTGATGGATGATTAACATATAGCCTTAGTCAATTGCGTAGGACCCTGGGAGGTGGTGACTTACCCAGGGTCATACAATGTGAGAGGAAGGACATGAACTCAGATTATCCCCCCCCACCCTCTTAGTCTCTTTCCAATCCACCCTGTGGCTCTCACATTAGACACAC